GTGATTGATTGATTAAAGTGCATTTGATAAGCATGATGAAGTTTGATGAGAAGAAGAGAATTACCACCTAATTTAAAGAAATTCATGTTGATCGAAGGAATACTTTCAAGATGAAGAACTTGACACCAAATTGATGACACTTGTTGTTGGATCTTGGTGTGTGGATGTTCAACAATGTCAGTGACATTTAATGAGAGAAGTGAAAAATCAGGTAGAGGTAATGCCTTTCGATCTATTTTACCATTCGGATTGAGTGGAAATTGATCGATGAGAATAAACAATGAAGGTACCATGTATAGAGGTAGTTGATTGGTGCATTGATCACGTAAAATATTGACATTGAAATGAATTTTAGTTTGAACATAAGCCACAAGATGTTCAAGATTGTTATGATCATATTTAACAACGACACAATTAGTGATCTCGGATGAAAATCTCATAATGACTACTTCAATTTCACCTAGTTCAATGCGTTGTCCTCTTAGCTTTATTTGAAAGTCATTTCTACCAACATAATGTAAAAGATCCATTGTAGTGTCCAATCGTACAAGGTCTCCTGTTCGATAAAATAAATCATGTGTAGGAGGTAAGTGCACTAGTGCTTGACGAGTCTAATCCAAGCGATGCAAATAGCCACCAAATACAGCTTCACCACCGATGAAAAGTTCACCAATCTGGTGATCAGCAAGAACAGGTTGCAAATAACTATCGAGTATGTAACATTTATAACCAAGAAGAGGTCGACCAATCGGAAGGGAATCTAACTGCAGATCAGCTTTGGTGATCTGATGAAATGTCGTTGCAAAAATGCATTCAGTCGGCCCATAAAGATGATAAATAACAGCAGAAGGGTTTAGATAGTCATAGAGTAGAGATGCTGTTCGTGGTCGAAGAGGCTCTCCTAGAAGAAGAAAAATCGTTATTAACTTGTCTTGATGTGTACTCTTTACCTATAGAACAAAGTCGTTGTAAACTGATTAATGTATGATGCTTGTCATGATAATTGTGCACATGTTGAGCAATTGTGGCGAGAAGTGTTGGTACAGTAATGGCAAAGGTAATTTGATTACGTTGTACGACCGATGTTAAATAATTCATGTCAAGATTTCCATTGGGTCGAAGTAGACAAATGCATCCACCCAGCCAAAGTGTTCCAAGAATTTCTTGTATGTGAATATCGAATGTTGTTGGTGTTATTTGTAGTACAGTCTCATTTTGCATCATGATAGAAGATTGAGAAAGAGCATTAATACATGCAGCAAAGTTTTTGTGACTAATCGGGATCAATTTTGGTATGCCTGTTGAACCACTAGTGGAAACCACATAAGCAATCGAGTTAATATTGATAAGAACATCATTGTCACTGAAATTTGTCGGGTTTAACGATGGTAATATCCGACTAATATCAACATCACTTGATGGGATGAGTGTGTTCGTTCGATTATGACTAAGAACACATTTAGTTTTGACTTGTTCAATCAATGAAAGAAGTCGCGCTGATGGTTGATTTGGAGAGAGAGGACAATATGATGCACCACTCATCAGAATCGATAGTATACCAATGATCTATATGACAAATCAGAAGAAGATTATTACTATCAAAAGTCAGTTTTCACTTACCATTTCAATAGACCGATCGACACATTGAGCAACAATGTCATCTGGTTGTATTTGACATCGATCTGTCAAATGATGAGCAAGAAGTTGTGATGAATGAAGAAGTTCAGCATAGGTGAGTGATTGATCATCGAGAACTAAAGCTAGTTTTTGTGGATGTTCCATAGCTCTACATGCAAATTGTTGATGAATGGGAAGGAGGTTTGAAGACAGAAGCAGCTGATCGCCCTCGTTCAAGTGCTGTAGGCGTCTCATCTCGTGTGGAAGAAGAAGCGAGAAATCACAGATCGAAGTCAAAAGAGGCGCGGAGGTAAGTTGTTCAAGAAGGCTTTCGAATCGGCGAGCCATAATGATTATGGTTGCTTCATCAAATACATCGCAGGCATACACAAATGAGCCGATTATCTCGTTGGGTTCATTCACTTCGACAGATAGACACAAGTCATATTTGGTTACATTAGGTAAGCGAGTACAACGAACGAGTTCACATTCTTCTGCGAGCCTTACTTTGCTTGTGATTGTCTTGAACTGAAACCCGATGGGCGTATTTGCTAATAATCGAGTACTATCGATGGTAGCATGATGATGGAACATTCGACCATTAGCCATCACCGAAAAGCTCATTTGTTTCACACTTGCGATTAAATCAGCAAGTTCCTTTTTAGGTTCAATAAATAACGGAAATGGGACAATATTATCAAAGATGCCGATAGTACGCATGAATTCATATCGAGGCCGATAAGTCACATAACTATGGACAACAAGATCCTGACATTGTGTTAGTTTAAAGAGAAAGATATAATAAGCCGATAAATACAGTTGGAAAGGGCTAGCTGGCATTTGAGATGTGAAAGTAACGAGTTTCAGTCTTACTGATGATGCACGACCTGTGCGACTTGTTGTTGTTGGGCGACGATCGTAGGGTAGTTCCATCGGATACTCATGGTTTTTCAATACTGTCTTCCAAAAGTCTGTTGATGATGATAGGTATTCATCGCTACCATGACGCTCCCATAGTGCATAATCTATATAGTTTGCCGAGTGATCATCATTCATGTTGAGCAGACCTGTTGAATAAACCTGTTTTAAATCAGCCATGAAAATGGACTGACTGAAATCATCGATGATCGTCTGATGAAAGTTGAATAGCAGTACATCTTCGTTGGTGAGAAGATCTTCATCGTTTTCCTTGTTTCTTCGAATCACATGACAACGAAAAACTCGCCCCGTAGTTGAATCCAAGTGACTTCGATTTGTTTCTTCGTCAATCAGTATGGCCTCTAATTCTTCTTCACTCTCAACCTTGCTTTCTTGTATCAAGGAAGGAAATGTGGTATCGAACGGTAAAACACATTGTTCCAATGTCTCACCGTTGGGCATGGTTGTTAAGCGAGTGCGTAGTATCGTATGTTTATTCACAAGTTGTGCAAGTGCATGATGGAGACGTTGACGAGAAAGAAAGGAACTTGGTGATACGATAAATACAAGTTGATTATTATTGATTGCCAATGGGGCAGAAGCAAAGCGTTCTCGTTCTTCTAACCAAATGTATTCCTGAGCGAATGAGGCAGGACCTACAAAAGAATTATGATTGAGACACCAGTCATTTACCTTTGAATTCGATCTAACCTTGCATCATATTATGTTGCCTGAGAGGAACTGATACTGTCTCGTTAAAAATGTTCTCTGTTAGGAAGCGAAGATGTTCACCGATAGATTGTTGTGCTAAAAAGTCCTTCAGAGTGATTCGCTGCGGTGGATTTGAATCGTATTGAGATTGATTGAAGAGTTGAGATAGGGTCAACGGTGAGCACTCTAGTGACAAGCTCGTTACAGAAGGATCATGAGATGTCTTGTCGAGATGTAACAGTGAACACCAGAGTTGGCCCATCTGGTCTTCAAATGTCTCGCGCGTCGATTTGTGCATTTTGGATCTCTTTTTTGAGTAAAGAGTATTGTTTTTTTGGGTTCTTTTGTTGATCTAAAAGACGGTATGAGGTTAGCAAGACAATAGATAGTAAAAAACATGTGCATGGCGAGCCAAAACCATTAAATCTTCAAAAGGCTAAGACCATGGAATACTCGCAAAGATTTAGGAATACTTTCTACAATTGGTTCGGCTAAATATGCTTTTAGAAGCATGAGATAGATTCGACCTAAACAAACACTCTACGAAATTGCGTAGTAGCTCGTAAAATTTATTAGATTTATCGTCGAGATAAGAAAGAAAAGAAAAAGTTGTCAACATAAATTGTTGTGCAAATAGAGACGACTTTCATTCTTTTATTGTGCGAGTTTTAAAACGATTTTGTCCTTAGACTATCATTACCATGGGGCAACATTACGACTCTTTTATCTAAATTTATGCAGTAAGAATGATGCAGGTTTCAAACAAGAGTTGATTCGCATAAAGCACAACACAATTGCATTATTACAGTACTCCACAAAAGTCCTCAGTCCCCGAGATCTTTGGACTAGCCATAAACCGAACCCAAACCACTCGGGTTCGCGTTCGGGTTCGGGAGATGTCGACCAAACTCAAACAACGTCGAGCATCCAGATGATTCTTCTGACATTTTTGGAGACATATCACTAGGCATGTACTAAGGATGTAACGAACCCGAATCGTTCGGGTTGGGTATGGGTGTGGGTGTGGGTGGAGTGTGGGTGAGTGTGGTTGTGGGTGTGGGTGGGTGTGGGTGTGAGTGTGGGTGTGGGTGTGAGTGTGGGTGGGTGTGGGCGTGGGTGTGGGGTGTGGGTGTGGGTGGGTGCGGATGTGGGTGTAGCTGTGGTGTTAGGTTTGTGGGTGTCGCAGTGACATCCACACTCACACACCTACACCCACACCCGCACCCACACTCATCCACACCCATACCCATACCCACACCCACACCCACGCCCCACACCCGTGTGATGATACTTGCTTGGAGTCTATTCTACTCATGTTCTGTTTGCATGTGTGTATGATAGTTCGATACGTTCTTTTTATTTTTCAAAGGTAGCTGATAAGAGACGAGGAAGTAAATAAAACATCCATCGTCATCAAGCTTACTCATTTGTAAATGCATCAAATCACTAGGATATGCTTGTGCTATTAATTACTCATATTGAATTTCTTTGTTTGATTAATTTTTTTCGAGTGATAGAATTTTCACAATATTCGTTCAACGATAGGGAGATCATTTTCTGAGTTTTGTTGTTTTTTATGAGTAATATTTTGAGTTCATGAAAAGTATTGTGAAAAACATAAAGAATTTGTTGAGATAACATCGATGAATAATTTTGTGATCATTTTTTTCCGAGCTTAGATAAAACAGAGATGAATAATAACATATGATAACAAGTATTTATTTTTGATCATATATTAGAAGAAAAACCATTCTTCCCAGGAAAAATCCAATCAAAAATAGTCTTAATATAAAATGTGTCATATGTCTTTCACTCAAACCATTCAACAAGTTCTAACTTAAAACGCCATGAGTTTAGAAACACCTGATCTCTATAGACTTTTATCACTACGTCCCGATGCAACGCCACAACAAATTCGAGATGCATATAAGAAGCTAGCTCTCCAATGGCATCCGGACAAAAATCAAAATAATCCGCATGCTGAGCATATGTTCAAAGCAATTAACAAAGCCTATCAAACATTATCAAATTCAACAAGTAAACAGGAGTATGATGACAGGCATGATGATGATGATGATAATGAGGATCATGACATCATTATTGATCTCAACAACCTTCGTTTGCATATGGGCAAGCGATTATCGGAAAAGTATGAAGAAGATATTTTACGTTGGATGGCTGAATATTCGAATATTTCTTTTAATGATAATTTCGATCGTGAACTTGTCTCTATCATTAATAATGTTCGATCGACATTCAAAGAAAGTGAGGATAGTAAAGTAACATCACTAAAAAAATGTACCCTTTGTTTGCAAACATATGATGACGAACAAAACCATTTACTAGAAGCACGACAACCATTTTTGGCTTTTATTGAACGAGATAATCATCAAGATCTTAATGCACAATTAGCTTTGGCTCTGCACGAAGAATGGAATTGGCAAGCAACTTGTTTACCATCAACATCTGTTTATAAACAACTCTGGTTCAGCAATACTTGGAAGGATGTATCCAATATGATATGTCAGTTTCAATCTTGCATTAGCTTATTGTGTAATAGAATGAATTTAATCACTATTAATTATATTCAATTATATCGTAATAATCCTTACTTAGAAACCATTGTGAAAACAACAACAGTAAATTTTCTACCTAATGCCGCTCATTTGAAGGAAGCGATTGAATATGAGAATCGTTCTCGATCGGATTTTCGTTCATCAGATTGGAAAAATGATCTCACACGACGAAATACAAGCAGACAACAATGTATTGTGACCAATGTTGACACAACAACATCTATCCTTGCACATCTCTGCTACGATGTAATGACACCCTCTGAATCGATGCCTCTATCAAATCAATCCGAGTGTAATGGTTGTAAGATACGGTTTGGTTTTTTCAAGACTAAATACAACTGTCGTATGTGCGGTGGCATTTTTTGCAACAGCTGTCTCGTATACCAAACTTGTTTGCATCTTGGCTTTGACTTTCCCGTCCGTATATGTTCACGATGTGTTATACACAAAGAAAAACTAGTTGTGAATCTATTGAAACAAAATATTCTTGTTCAGAAACTGCCCGATGAACAAATTGCGATGTTGCTTGCTCTACTTCATTGTTATAATGATTCTCAAGCAAATGATTTCTTTTTGGAAGCAAGCAAAGTATTTTACAAATCGAATCGATTTCAACTTGTTCTTCAATGTTACTATTATCGTTGTCATCAAATGAATGAAATCGATTGGTTTTCTTTTGCTGAAGACATGTGTCGAAGATCGGCATATTCACTAGTATTAACTTGTTTTTATGTTATTTACAAACTGTATAAATCGGACAAACAGTTTTGGATTCAAAAAGGAGATTTTTACAGCAAGAAACAAGAAATATCTTCTTCGTTGCAAGAAGGCATTTTAGCTTTATTTGCTTACAAGCAAGCACAATTGAGCAGTGGAACTATTCTTCAAAAGTGTATCTCAATTCGTCATCCACTTTCTCAACTTTTACTTATTTTATATGCAAAACCGAACACTAAACAAGCCGAAAGTATGCTATCAATACCTGATTTACGTTCATTTGCCATTTTCTATCTTCATCTTGCTAATCTCTTAATCGATCAATGGATGTTTATTCTTAATCAATTATATTTGACATCAGCATTTGAAACATTGACATTTGTATTATGTACAATCGACAAGACACTTGTTTCTGCATTTGCTAAGCGGCAACAGTCAAGTACAGTTGTTCAGTGTTTGTCATCGGTGGTACTCAATAACAATTCAATGGATATTGATGAATGGCTGAATTTTATTTGGTCCGATCTCAGCAAAACTGATCAAATTATTACAGCTCTTTCATTTCTACATGTCTATTGTCGAGTGAGTTCCTGGGCCGCGCTAAGTGAAACGTATGCAAGCCAAAAATGTTATGACAAAGCTATAATTTGTCATAAAATGGATGTTGCTCTTTCACTTGATGACCCACGCGAAGATCCTACTTGGTTGGAAAAGGGTGTAATAGAGGGCGATAGTATAGCCTTTGAGATCAAAAACTTTTCTGTTACCAACTGGCAAACACTCGGAGATCAATACTTCAGCACTAAGCAGTTCAAATTGGCTTTAAAGTGTTATCTCAGATTGACGAATTCAATTGATCATATTATGGCACAATCTCGTCATCTACCTGACTCGGAGGCCCTTTTCTACTATATAGCCATTTACAAACGGATCATCAATAATTCGAAATTAGTCGGCGAAATCATTGAAGCTATTTGTAAAAGCATGAAGAAATTACATCGACCCATTATTACCATTTTTGCCAGCGCTCTTCGTTGGTTGCTCGATGATGATCAATTTACATCGGTTCATTCAATTCATCTTCAGTTTCAGTTAGTCAAAGAGCTTAGCAATTCGGCAGACTTCTTCGAGATATATTACAGTGGACTTCATGTATTATCTGCCTATGAAAATATATCAAAAGACCTTGCCATTCTAATTCAACAATATCATTTGAAATTTACACCCGATGAAATTCGTGCACTGACTTATGTTTCAATCGTTCAATTAGCTACTCGACTTCGCTATATTGTCGATTCATCAACTGTACGTCAAGTGTTTAATACATGTATCACAGGGCAGAAAATTGATAATTTATCTGCACCCTATCGTGCAATGTTGTATCTGATGGAAGGAACAATTGACAAGCTAGAAAATCGACATATCGAAGCTATAAATAAACTGCAAAAAGTAATGACATGTTGCCCCAATGATGAAACAATCGAAGCATTAGCAATTATGATGAATGATTCGTATTTTCAACGATGTCTTCGTCGTATTCTCATTCTTGATATTAACAATATTATCAATAGTGATGGTCCACTTTCTGCTCAAATTCAACCACGACCACAAACATTTGCCTTTGAGCATCGTTTGAAATCTACTCCTTATCTTAATCTTGTTCGTAAGAATGAACGAGCCTTTTCAAAAAAATTCAATCAAGATAAATATAAATGTGCCATGGCATACATTGATTTATGTATGGCTATTCAAGATGCAACATGTCTTGTATCAAATATGATTTTAGCTGGTATTCGTTTTTATGAAATTCTTGAAACTGCCAATGATCCAGCAAGTATATATGCATATCGTAATTTAATTACAGAAATATGCATTCAAGCACATATGATTGCACGACATTATCTTGTACCACACATACAGATTTATATCAATAAACTTGTTCTAACTCTTTTGATGCAAACTACAAAACGATTCCGTCAATCATTGCCACATCGATCATCACAAGTAAAAAATCAAAAAACGGACCTAGTTATTAGTCAATCGATGAGCATAATTTTGGCCGAATCAATGAAACGTATCGTCAATTTAACGAAAATATTTCCGTTTGTTAATCTACCAACTTCACTCAGTTATGATGTTATCTATCTCGAAGTAGTTGGAAGAGAATTTCTCGAGAAATATCTCGACATCAGATTGATTAGTGATCCATCTCATTTGCATCGATACTATCAATTTGAAGGTATTTGGCGAGGTTGGATTTTGAGCCAAGATTTTAATAGTATCCGTGAATTGTCCATGTCAACTTTGCTTGCAACTCGAAAATGGGATATGTTCGATGTTCAAAATTTACTTTCTAATCCACTTATTCCACGTACAAATGATGGATGGTTAACAGATAAACGACAACCATTAGGAATTTCAGGAAATCAATATTTTACTAACGTTGACGGTATCTCATTCAATATTGACACAGGAGAAATTAAATTATTTCTCGTACCAACTAAAAATAAGATCGATGCTTTATTTAGTGATAATGATCTCAATGAAGTATTTAGTAAAGGTATTACACAAGCAATTTTTACACTTGATCAACCTGATAGTAAACTACTTTCACATCCATTTCAAGAAATGAAATATGGACCATCATCATCACTTGTTCATACACAATATTTAGCTACATTATTACATGCTGATTATTTACTGAAGATGATCACTACGGGTACGGAAGTATGTGCTATAGCACCATTTCCAATGGAAAAAGAAAGCAACGTTTTGCGACGTTTACCTAGACATTTGCAAGAATTACTCAAACCTTTACATCAACGTGAAAAGACGAAAAATCTTTGGGGTAATGCACATCGTTTCTGGATTGAAGCAGGTAATTTAATATATGAAAGACAAGTAAATAATGCTCAAAGTGAAATCATTTATCGTCTTGGTGATGTAAAAATGTTTGTAAAGAAACATCTACTTGAATATGATGAACAGGGCAATTTGATCGATGATACTATCCGAAATAATACTAATTTAGATCAATCACCAGAAGGATTATTTGCTAAAGCTTTTACAGATCATTACAATGAAATTGGTTCGTATTTTCCTGAATTATTAAGATTAAAAGAACTTTTGAAACTTGGCGCACTACTTGCTATTCTTCAAAATCATTATGAAAATCTTACTGAAATGATGACTAATGAACAATCATCAGTTGAAGAAATGTTGACATCAGTCAAATCACAAATTCGCGAATATCCACAAGCAACAACATATAATGTCAATTATCATTATTCAAATATATTGAGAGAGAATAATGTCTCCAGTACAGATGTACCATCACATATGATAACCGAATTGAAAGATAAAATTCTTTCTCAATTACGTGATGCTGACGAGAATTGCGTGAATCAAATTGCAATTCAGATTTGTCATGTACATAAGTCGAATAATATCAATCATGTTAAATCACTCGTGGATAATTGGCTCAGATATAATTCAGACCAGGCACTAGTGAATTTTATTGTCAATGCTAAAAGAAACCATCGACGTATGCTGATAAGTAGAATCGACCAACTGAACATCTCACACAAACGACAAACTCGATTTGAATTAAGTGAGTAAATAATTTTTTTTAACAAATATGAAAATCAATCTGTTTGTGTGACTTTTTTTTCTTTCTTATAGAGAATATTGAAAATGTGTGCTGTTGGGTGCCGGCTGTCTTTTTCAATATGAAAAATAATCCTATCCGCGTATATGGTGGTGTATCACTTCAGTTAAATTTGACTCAAGGACGAGTACCACCATCTCCGCCTGCTGTATCATATAATGCTTCACAAATAATCAGTTCCGGTGGATCATCAGGACGAACACCACCAAGTATGTATCCCATCAGAGTGAATGAATCATTGCATGAACTATAAATAGAAAGAAAATATGTATTTTGAGAGTTTTCTTACCATTAATATCAAGAAATTATATTGCATTTTGAAACGTATTTTTCTAAAAACTATTAAACCAACAGAATTGACATGAGATTCATTTTGTTTTAAGGTGGATGTGGTGGCAATGATGGTGGCAGAGGCAACGATAATAAATCAATTATTATTGAATTGAAGGCCAGTTCTGAGCGTCAAAAGGATGGTAAACAAATCTATGAACGAAATGGTGGCTTTCGACAAGCACAAGCTGATTTTGATCGTCTTTCTGGTCTCGTACGCGAAGAGAGGCATCCTCGGGGAGAAACAATCTGGATCAAAGATTTGGGTGATAATCAAAGTGCTATCTTACGTTCAATTAGCACAGATTCTCGTGTAACACTTGAAATTCAAGGACAAAATCAGAAAAAACAAATGGTAGCGAAATGTAAATTTCGATACAATAATTCGTCATAGCTCAAAATCGATTTTACATTATCTCTTATTGTATGAATAAATATGTTTTAAATAAAAATAAAAAAACAAATGAAGTTATTCATCAAAGTTTATTAATGAAGCAGATTCGAGTATTTGCAACTAATAATCGAAATCTTTTAACCAGAAAAAAATCTAAATATTCACCATTGTTGCTCAAAACAGTTCTTCAATAAATGCTGAAATAAGTATTTCTTCAATAGACAAAATCGTTCTTATTTCTGTTTGCTTATTGTTGAGAAGAAGATTTCTTATATTTTGATCCAAAATCAATTGAACAATTCATTGAAAAATTATTTCGAAAGAGAGTATTTTTTTTTCTTTTTGAATAAAACATCGAATTCTGTTTTCTTTAGTGATTTAAATAAATTAGAATTCGATCTTGGTTATTCACTGAAAAAAAAGGTATTCTACGAAACCTAGGTAGGGTTTAGAGATTTGAAACGAAATCGAAACCTTTTAGAGTTTCGTAAATGTATCCTTTTTTTTACTTTTTCAAAAACAGTTCATTAAAATGGTGTTTCCACTTGAGTCAATATCCTAGTAAGAAGCTCATGAACCGTACAACAATACTATATTATATTGAACTACTTTTTACGGAAAATATAGACTTTAAAAAAGGGTTCCGTAAAAAACCCTAAATTTCTCTCAATGGCTGCGAATGGTATAAAAAGCATTTTCAAAGCTTTTCACGTTTGGTTAAAACCACTTAAGAGGCTTCGATTTCCTTGCAAAAATCGAAACCTTTTTAGGTTTCGTAATGTGCATAAAAACCTTTTTAAGTTTCGCGAAATGGTGCGAAACGATTTGAGGTTTCGTGACAGTTCAAGGGTTTAGTATTCTACCTTTTTTTTCAGTGTTGTTGGGGTGACGTTGTGGGTGTGGGTGTGAGTGCGGGTGTGCCTGTGGCTATGGCTGTGTAGATGTGACTGTGAGGGTGGATGTGAGCATCGATGTTGGAGTTGTCTTCACCCACACCCACACCCAAATCCACACCCTAAATCAGTACTTAGGATTAATACTTAAAATTAAATGAAATACTTACTTGATGTATATGTTCAAAAAAGAGCAGATCACATAAGTGGTCTAATCTATATTTGAAACACTTATCACAGATAGGAGTTCTACTCATTTTTAGAACACTTCTCTAATATAGGAGTTCTATTAGATTTAGAACACTTCTCTAACATAGAAGTTCCTAATCTTTTTAGGACACTTTCTCTTTTTTATTCTTTTTACGCAATAATATCGGCGTTTGGTACAATCACGAGACCGCTAACAAACAACACAATCATCAACTATCAACTAAAACAAGGTTCTTCTTCCGATGTTGGTGATATGCATGGTGTTTTCTGGTCCAAGATTATACAAAATGGCGTCGTTCTTCTTTTATACGTGTTTCATGCAAAATTAGAGAGGTCCATTCGACCATCTAATGTTCTTTTTCAATCTTATCGGTCCATTAGACCATGAGATTTTTTCTTGTTGTTTGTTTCTTGTTTTTTATATAAAGTTTTTTGTGGTATTTGTTGTGGTTTTCTGATGACGTGTGGTTGAAATCACACAGAAACTAGTCAATAAGACATTTACAAAAACACAAAAAACTTTTTCCTTTTTTTTTTTTTAACATCTCGAGAGTAGTGTTAACTCATTAGAGAGA